CAACATAATATCTAAGTAATGCTTGGTTCAAATGGGACAACACTAACAGATAAAAATAATAAACCTGAGCAGGAAGTTTTGCAATGTGCAGAACTGCATTTGAATCTAGGCTTCATTGTTTCCTAACTGTATGACCTTGGAGAAATCACCTACCTATTCTGATCTGTGGAAAAAGTTTTCTATTACCCACTTCACATTTGTCTTGTAAGGACAAAAGACAATAATGCACAATGTACCTAGGCCTGTCATGATGCAAGGACACAATGAAAGTGGAGCATCATATCAGTCTCATATCCAAACTGGATATGGGAAAGGGAAAAAAAAAAAACCAGAATATAAGGCTTCCGATATCTATTCTATCTTCCTTCTCCTGCCAAGCCTCCATGCCTGTGACTTCTAAGGTGAGAAAGGGGGGCAAACAAGGAAATTCCTACACCAAATGCGTAAGAGCAATTACACAATTATGTGCTACCCTGTGTGGCTACAGAGGACTTTAGGCCTTCCTGCAGCCCCTCTGAGCTGACCCCAGGCCACCCATGTGCTAGGGTAGACTGCAGAGGGGAGGGCAGTGAACAGTCTTAACACATGCAAAGTGGATTTGCAGGCTAGACACTGGAATTTGAAAGCAACTTCTATCCCTTCGTGACCCATTTCTGGTCAAAGGTATCACTTTTTGACCTGACCATATGAGCTGTTTTCTGAGAAGCTGGCTTCAGCATACTAAGAGACGGGTGCGTGACCAGCAGGGATTAAGAAAAGCCCATTAGCCATCTACCTGTGGCTGACAACGTTTGGTCCTCAGTAGATTAGACCTGGATAATAAGAAACCCTATGGACTTCATCTCACAGACTGACCAAATTAAGGTCAACAAAATAAAGTGTACATGTTTATTTCCTTTGTGAGTCCAACTAGCAGAAAGAAGAGGCAAATGACTTTTGGAATGGAAGCCTTTGTGTTTGAGGAGAGTCCTGTGAGAGGTTTAGAAGGTAGGCAGGGGGAAGCCAGAAGCAAATATTCAAACCCTCTGTTCTTTCTCATTGATTACCACCACAGTTCAATGGTGCGTTAAAGAGAACCTAGAGCCACTTTTGTTTTCTTTAAAAATGAAACAATCCTATTCCTTATTAAAAAAATTAGATTCACAATGATGTAGTATAGAAAACTAGGGATTCCAACCAATCTTCACAACATTGTTTTTCTCAAACTATATTTTGAGCTAATAAGCTATCTCTAATCTGTCCCTGTAGAAAGAAAAGAAGACTAGGAGTTGAGAAGCATCCTGAAGGGTGGATCAGCACTCAGAAACACAGCTGTGTTTTCTTATGGAAGGAAACAAGACATAGCTGCCAAGACAATGGAAGAGCCATAGGTAGGGGAATATATACAAAGAGAGTCTATAAAATCAAAACGGAGTCCAGAAAGCAGACAGTGAATGTGCGAGTCCAGTATGACAAAGGAATGATCCTAAAGGGCTTCTCACAGGTCTCTCAGTCAAAGATGAGGGCTGGCTGGAGAGCCTTTTGAGTGCTCTGCCCCTCTTGTTCTTGAAAGAGAAAGTAAAACTTCCTGATGTTACTGATCTCAATCCTGCAGTTGTACTGGATATGAGCTACCTCTCCTTTGTAGGAGTGGTACGCAGGTAGATGGTTACTGCAGCTTCTGAACTGGAAGATATAACCTGCTTTCCTAGAGTCACTCAAGAATATTAAAAGTAAGAAGTGGGGAAATTGTTTCCACTTGAACTCTGACATGGGTTCATCTGAGAGTGAGGAAGACAGGGGTCCATCAGCAGCCTCATCGGGAGCTACTTAAGACATTTTACCCATGGCAGCAGCTGGTTTTGGAACACCTCTCTTTTTTCCTTACCTTAGGTTTCAAAGAGGAAGCGAATTCAGTAGATACAAGTTAATCTCATTGACTGATAAGCTGGTTCATTTAAAGGGATGAATTACTAGTGTGTAGACACTGCAATGACTCAGTGGCTATGCTCAGACAAAATGGAATCAAACTGAAACAAGAGAACTTGATGAAGTTCTATATATGTATAGAACTATGGAACTGCAGTACCAAATTCAAGACACAGAACAATTCAGCATGTGTGAAGGTGCTGTGGCCTTGTGCCAATATCATTCCCCAAAAGCAACCATCACTCTGACACATACCACCATTGATAACTCTTTCACATTCTTAGACTTCATCTTAAATGAATCATATGATACATATTCTTGTGTCTGGCTCTTTGTTCTGCACAATGTTTGTAAAAGTTCTCCAGACTGCTGCAAGCATCAGTAACTAAGGATTTTGTTGTTGTTGTTGCTGCTGCTAGACTATGAATAAAAGAATAAATTTCTATCCATTCCAATGTGGATAGGTATTTGGGTTATTTTTCAGCTTGGAACTAATATAAACAAAACTATTATGAACAATTTTGAATATCTTTGACTTGTATATTCTTAGTGTTTTTGAATGTGGAAGTCAAGACTCAGAACTCCAGCAATTCTGCATACAGAATTGCATACAATACATGCATGCTTCCAAGAAGGCAAAAGAAGCCTGGAATAGTCTGACTAGTTAGCTGCCTTGTACTTCTTTTTATTTCTATTCTCTAGAAGCCTCTGCATTCAGGAAATTCCTCTTGGATGATAGCTAGTTTTCCCTTTGCAAATCTACCATATTTTAAGCAAAATTTTGAAGCAAAATATAAGAAACCAATTATAGCTAATTGATTCCTGAGATGAATCTACTATCATATCATTCCCTTTTCTGAGGAAGGTAAATTAAAAAACTCATCGACTCTAAAAATATCCATACATCCTGTCGATAAAAAATAATAATAACATAATGAAGGTCTGTGGACAATCACCTTTTGTCAGCCTCTAACATGATGTTTGCCTTAAAGATCTGAGTATGATGGTGCATGAAAGCTATGCATGTGGAACACTCATCCATGGCCAAAGGTCTGGTGAGACAAGTTCTCATCATTATTCTAATTTGTGATGCTAAAGACTGGCACTTAAATAGGGCAACAGATAAATGAGTTCTTCAGAAAAGAGGAAGGATACCAATGATTTTAATAGACTGAGAGAAACAACTGAAGTCTACTAGGCAACTAAACAACTCAAAATGGTCTCGATGAGGCTACAAAGCTCAATTAAACCCTTCTCTTCATATAAGTAGATTTTTCTAATCTGCCATTTACAGTGCTTCACTTTCTACCTAGAGGCATCTCAAATAACACCATCCTTAGAGATGTTTTCCTGCCAGCTCACAGTGCCATCAGTGGCTGACACAGCCGTCCTGTACATGCATTTATGTTTATCTGTTTCCACTCATGGCCCCTAAAACTTTAGCTTTCTATAACCACCAGCACCATTTTTGTGTTTCCTGGAAGCTTTATTTACAATTGCATGTTTAAGAGATGGAAGGCAGATTTCGATTCTATGGATTTGCAATAAAGCAATATTTACACAAAGTTCCTTATGCCTCTGAGAGAATCCCTGGAGCCCACAGTTGCAAAAGCTCATCTGTAAAAGGAGTATGTTAAAGGGGTCAGTAGCAGGAACCCCTGCCATCTGGTGTTAAATTTCCCCAAGTCTGAGACACCTTTCTGGCTCCTCTGGGCAGCAGAGGCAGCTGCAGGTTTGTAGGCTGTTCAAACATAACTAGGTATGCCTCTCCAATCTGCATACAACTGCCTTCCTCGTTACAGAGAGAAGTAAATGGGATAACAATCAGACTTGGGAGATCTAGATTCAGTAAGATTATTTTTTAAAAAGTGAGTTGGTCAAAGTTTGAATGCATGGGTTCAGAACTCTCTTCCTGGGGATGTCTGGACCTCAAGGAGAGCAGAGTTGTATCCTAAAGGCTACTGAGACAAATCCTCAGTATTTTAGAATATTTTTCTTCTGCAATGGCTGGACACATCATGGCAAAGCACCCATACACAGACAAATAAAATATTTCATATAAAGCCATTTGTAAAGAACAGACACTATACAAAGCAGGCTGCTAAGCTCAATTCAGCTCAATGAACAAGGATGGAGCAATAGTCTGGCTAGGACACAGGAGCACAGAGCTGGTGCCCACTGCAGGGACTAAAGGATATGCTGAGAAAAATGTGAAAGCCCTGATGTGTCTGGGGAGGTGGGGGACGGGGTGAGAGGACTTAACCACTTTTCCTCTCAATTCATCTTCCACAACCCATCACTACTCTTGGGTCCACCATTTCTCTGTTCTTTCCTTGTAAATATTCAAACTAACAAATGTGGCTACTTTCAAGAGTGCTCTGAGAGGAAACTGAGGGCCCTAAGAGACTTGCAGCCAGCTACATGCTTAGTCCCAGGGCCAGGCATTAGACTTCAGGCATCAGGGAGACCCTGGGCCGTGGTCAGAGATCAGAAGACCCAATACTCTGGTCGATTTGTGGATGGGATTATTCTTGTGTAGGCTCCTTGTGTAGCCCAGATACATCTCTTGCCCAAATGAACTCAACTCTACCCCTAAGGAACACAATAAGTATCCTGTGGCTTCAGACACATGGGTGGTATGTGTGGCAACTGAGCAGGGGAATCCTGCTTAGAAGCAGTGGTGGTGCCTGTTTTGGAGTATTCCAAAACAGGCCACTGGAAGCTGTTCTGCCTTCTAAGTCTTCATTTGGAGGGGACGGACTCCAGGCTGACCCAGCACAGGTAAGTGACTGACCTAGGCCTCCACCATGCAGCAATCTGCAGGTGAGGGGGCAGGTGCCTATTCCCCCACAGTCCCCAGTTAAGTCTCTGGAGTCTCCAGTTTTCAAAGACCCACTGGGCTGCGCTGATTGGTACAGCGAGAAGCCATCAAACCGGGCCCCACTGACCCCTAAGAAAAAACACAGAGTCCCTGGCCTGCCAGTTGGTCCGCAGGCAGCTCCAGGACAGACTCAACAAGTTCCTGGGCTGTGCAGCGCCGCCTGCAGCTCAAAAACCTCGAGGACGCACCGCCTTGGAGCCCGGCGCGCAGGCGGCAGCCGGCTGCAGTTCCTTCCACCTCCTTCTCCAGCTCCCACTCGGGCGTCGGTGGGAGGGAGCTCCTCCACTCTCTCCAGGTCCCCCACCAAACGCGCGCGCCCCGGCCTGGCCCCGCGCCGCCCCCGCCCCGCGGGCCCGGGGCTCCGCCTGCCTCGGTGCCAGCGGAGCGCACAGGCGACAGATAGGCGAGCGGCTCCGGGCGCCCTCTCCTCTGGCCGCCTGGCTCCGCGGAGTAGCTGGGACCCAGGAGCGGCTGCAAGGACTTCCCTCCTGCTCCCTCCCCCTCTCCGCCCCCGCCCCCCTGGCCCGGGCTCTGAGATCTCGCTGAAGACAATTGCAGTAAATGAGGACATCGGAGGAGCACGGAGCCGGGCGGCTGTGGCTGGCTCCTCCGCCGCGCCGCGAACGAGCGAGCGCGCGGGCGTCCCCGGAGCCGGCCGAGCCGCTACCTCCCCGCGGGCGTTGCTGAGTGGGGCCGGAGGGACGCGAGCTGCGGCGCGGGGGCCGGCCGGGCCAGGCGGGCCGGGCCGGCGGCAGTGGAGGGGGCGGGCGGCAGAGCGCAGCCGGCCAAGTCCCGAGAGCTGAGCCTTCCGCCGCGCGAGCCGGAGGAGCTTTGCCGCGGATGCCCTGCCCCGAGTGCTCCGTGCCGCGCCAGGCTTGCCAGGGTCCGCGGAGAGACATGCCTGAGCCAGGCGCTGCACCGACCTCGACTTATCTGTAAGCAGCAGAAGGTAAGCCGAGCCCCGCGTTCCCTCCTCCCGCGCCTCGGCGCCTGCTCTACTTGGCCGCGGGCAGAGCACCGCCGGGACAGACACCGACCCTAGCTCAGGTGCACGCACTCGCCCCCAAACCGACTTCCCCTGGGCCAGGACCCGCTGGTGCAACCTGGAGCTGACCCGGAGGTAGGCGGCGGGCAGGGGGCGAGGTTATGCAACCGCATCTGGAGCGACCCGGTAGACCAGGGGTACCTGGCAACTTTGGCCACCGCCAGCGAGAAGCGGGGCTGCGTGTGCTATGTGGATTCTAGACAAACGCCACAGCCTCATGAACGCCCGACAGCCCCAGCCAGGCAGAACTAGGGGGACCTGGGGGCGGCTGCTTCTAGGGAACATTTCGAGGCTTTTAAGTATTTTCCAAACTAAAGCGAACTGGCCAAGTAAGGCTGATTAACTTGGGGGGCGGGGGCGGGGGCGGGGGGGGCGTAAGTCCGAGCAGAGGACCCCTGAAGCCGGCTACTCTGGAGAGGCTTGAGCAGGAGCAAAAGCAGATGCCCACGTGAAATGTCCGTCTCCTAGCTAGCTCGTGTTGGCACCTCCACAGGGCTGCGGGCTGGGGTCCGTGCCCATGGGCTTCCGGGTGCCTGGCATCCAGTAGTTTGATCCGCACAGGCGTGGGAAACCAACCAATGCTACAAACCAAGCAAGTGGGCACGCTGGCGGTGAGGGCAGGAGAGAGGAGAGAGCCTTGGGCCAGCTAGGGGACAGGCAGCGACTGGAACCCAAAGTCAAGAGCAAGAGTCTGCGACTTGCTGGTTCATGCTCAGGGTTCTTCTGGCTGGCGTCTCCATTGCTAAGAGTCTCTCCCTGTGACCTCAGCATTCTACTACCCAAAAATATGCCACAGGGAGATGGAGCCAGTGCTAAAGAAATGCCAGGAGTGGGGGAGGAGAGTCGCCCCTGGAGTAAATAAGGGAGAAAATAGGTGCATTTTGCTCCTCTTCATACCAGGGCTCAGGTCCTTTCTCTCTCCTGATGCAGGTCTGTACTGAGTGGCTGGATGCCCTCTTGGGCCCCTGAGCCAGAAGCAGCAGTGAAGCAGTTTATTTTGACCTTGTCTGCTTAGGTGCTGAAATTCTGCCTAAGCATCCTGAGGTGAAACTGGCAAGAGTAGGAAGGAACTTTGGGCAAGCCCTTCCTTGGCTAGCAACCAAGTGATCATTTCAGAAGATCACTGGCTAGCTCTGGCTAGCAGAGGGTCGAGGTCAGTGGAGAAGGACTTGCCTGGGGGTTACCTTTCCATATCCCATTCAAGGGACTGTCAAGGTTACAGCGCTGGGGACTTGATTTAAAAATGCCACCCAAATCACAAGACTCAGGTCATTCCCAATTATTGCACAGTGCATATATGAAAATAGTATAACCTTATTAAAATAGCTTATGCTACAGCTTGAGCAGAAAGGAACCATCATTTCACTATGCAGAGGCGGTCACATTGTGCTATTTATTACATTCATATCCTGTTGAATGTTACTTTTCAAAGTTCATATTTATCTTTACAGGTTTTTTTGCAAGAATGATTAGCAAACATGCACAAGCAGCTCAGAGGAAAAATATGGAAGTCCTGCCATCCGCATGCCTCACCAGATATTAATAATTTACTATCCATGTTTACTACTTACATTAGATGGCACTGCTCCTCACAACGGGTTTTATCAAAGGCACATTCGGAGGAAAAAGTCTAGCACAGCTATCACTAATTACATGATTTTGCATAAATTATGTTAGCTACAGAGTTTTGTTTTCTCCACTGAATCCATCATTTCCTTAAAATGATAGGGTGATTCAGTTTAATTTCTTTAGTGAATGGAAAGACCTCTACTTAAAAACAGGATGCCCTTGAAAAGCAAAGCATGCCTTTAAACTTTACTACAGTCGCTGCGACTTTTTATTTTACTATTGTGATGAAGACTTGGAAACTTTTACCTAAATCAAGCCCATTATCCTTTTGAGAAATGTTATTAGTTAAGAAACAGGCTTACAAGGCTAAAGCTAGAAAGTTCCACATTTGCTCAACAAGCTTACAAAAACCTGGATACTCCATTACTTGACTTATTTGGGGGGCTTCTTTGTTTTGCTACAATTGTTCAGCCCCCCTGTGAGGATGGAAAATTTTTAATCTTTTATTTCTTCCTCTGCAGAGAAAATTTTGTTTTAGAAAATATTAATAAACAAATAGAATAATTGTACATGAAAGGCATCCATCTACAAGAAAGGCCCCTAGACAATAAAATAAACAAAATAAAAAATGATTCTCACAAACAACAGTTGATCACAGTGGAGCAGTTGGACAGATTCATTTGTGTGGCTGGACATTTGTATTCTCTTGTTCATTCTGACCCATGGCTGTCTCGTTTAGAGAAAAGACTAAACTCTCATATGAGAGGCAGACTCCTTATGTTGGGGCCAGGCTGTTTCCCAGAAAATAATGATACAGAAGCGATCACAGCCACATCACAAAGCAGCAGTTTTATGGACAAGCATTCACTCAGAAGGACAGTGTAGGGCTCACCAGGGACTTTTATTCTAAGGTGCTGGACCAACCCATCAGACACCAAGCAGATAAACATGAAGGATGCTGCCTAACAGGTCATTTAGATAATCACACAAGGTGTACAGACCTAGGCAAACACGGTCATTTGGGGAATGGGGAGGTCATAGGGACTCCCTAGATAAAACAAGCATCACTGTTTTAAACAGCTCTTTATAAATGTGAAGGGCTAAATTCTTTATCCACCATAATTCCACTGAGATCTACATTCCTGAACCCAAAATTAGCTGACATAATTTATGAAGCAGATTCTTTTTATTCTCCTCACATATTTGATTTTAATATTTCATAACATTATGGAGTGCCTTCAATTTTTTAAAACAAAAATTTAATATAATTGATATTACCGGACAACACGTGCATTCCTGTGAAGTTCCCGATACCAACATTCAAAGAAGCCTTTATCCACACAAGCTAATCTTGATGCAAATGTAGTAAAACTTAATGATTTTTATCAGTTTATTTTTAAAATGTATTCATCTTACATATTAAGGACAGAATACAGATTTGGAAACAGTTGCAGGTACCCTTGCATAATTTATAAAAATAAGTTGTTTGGATAAAGTCTTGTGCTGAGCAGTAAGCCATAGTGAAGTACAGTTTTAACCTGTGCACAATGTCCGATAACGTATATGTTCAGATCCTCACAGCACTAAGGTATCTCCAGCCAATTAAGAATCTTGCCTCTCGGATTAAGGCACCCTATAACCTCAGAGACTTCGCCTGGTCCTAATAACAGTCTCTTTCAGAAATCCCTTTGCTTTAAGTCACCAGGATATTCAGTGTGAATGTGAGTCATACCTACTTCAGGCTTTATTCAAACCATGAGTGAGTTGAAGGACTTTGAGGTGTATAACAATACTATCAAATTACAAATCACTACCTTAAATAAAAACGAAACACTGGCAATATCCCTGTGTCTTTCTGCTGACCACGTATTCCCAGCTCTAAGTGGGAGAATTGACAATGAATCCAGAAAAGCAGGTATTAAGGACAACGAGGAATTATATGTCTGATTTACTCTATAAACCTTTTGGCTAACCCCATATTTGACATGGATTTAGAAATAACTCTTTCCAAAGTCATTATTTGTGAATACTGCTTTTATATAGTACAGTGATAGCTCAAAGTGTTGTCCATTGAGAGACCTGTCTCTTTACCATATCATCCTGATGTTAGGAAGTCGGAGCAAGAAAAGGCCAGAGATTCATCTTTACACTGTGTACATGCACATAAGTAACACTATTTCAGCCAATACTATAGTAAAGAAAATTTAAAAATATCATACCAGCATGTCAATGTGCTGGTTGAAGCTTATATCGCAGTTACTATGGAAAATTCCAATTCAATCCTTAATAATCTAGCCTTGGGCATAAAATGAAATGCAGTAAACTATACCATATAAGAGACATGAGAAAGAGGCTGTGTAAATGCTGAAAATAGTACAAGCAGCTTTGCAAATAAAAGTCACTTTTTCTCTAGACATGCTCCAGAGGGGAAGGGGGCACAGGGCAGACTCAAGGCATAGGGGCCTCTTCTCAGTGGCTCTGTTGAGAAGCCCATCAGGGTATGTTCCATCCTTAATGAAACTGAACAATCTTCATAATTCGACGTCATTCCATTGGTAATGTAGGTCCTTACACACTCATTTTCAGGAAAGTATCCTGCACTGGTCAATTGCCCTGTAAACAAAAATCCCTTCCATATGTTCTTAGTGGTTAGAATCTACATGCCTCATATTATCTGCATTTTGCTTCACTAAATCTGCTTATTTTTGCAGTAAGTGATTTTAGCATCCTTGGAAATGTAGTGGAACTATAAAATCTGGGCTCCTAAAATGGGGCAGGCATAAGGAAGGTGGATTGATACACAGATGGCTTTGTTTGGATGGGATTTGTCATTCATGGAAATGATGTACTGAGCAGTGGCAGCAATGGCCAAGGCAATGAGCAAGGTCTTGAGGTACTCAGGAAACTCAGTCTAGGAGGAGGATAGGAGATGGCAAGCACTTGAAGATTTACAGGCTGGACAATCAGAACATGAGTTTTCAAGAAATGACGTCATGCCTGGATTGCAGGGTGAAGATTGAGATGGGGCCCCTGAGCCCAGCACATGGGTGTTCTAGGGCTTCAGTCAAGTGGTACCATGCTCAGAACAAGGTACTTGCACAGGAAGAGTGTGGTGTGACCTTTCACAAAAGGCTTGGGGGCTGGTATCAGAGTGAAGATAGTTTGAAGCCAGTCTGAGGAGGAACCAGCAGGACAGTAGAGGCCTATGTTTATTGAATGTTCTGAACATGAATATATACTATCAGAATCTTGTCTTACTATTCATAAATAAACCAGATAAAAAAGAATTGGAGGAGAGTTGAGAAGAGACCACAGATAAGAAGTAACTTAGTGCT